ATCTCAACACTCCCATTGGCTGGGAACCTGCTGCCGGCTTGCTTCTGGGGGCAGCCTGGTCTGCGATGCCAGGAGAGGCAGGAAGCTGTCTTAGCCCCCTCCCCGCACCACTGACCGGGAGCCACTCAAGGTAAGCCCCTCCTGTGCCAGCCCTGATACCCTCAAAGCCAGACCCCCCTCCTGCACCCAAAGCTCCGATCCTCAGCCCCACTCTGGAGCCCACACATGAGGTTGGGGCGCGGCACCAACAATTTTCTTCAACTGGGACATGAGATAAAAGTTTGAAACCCTCTGCAGTAGGACATATGGCCTCAGTGACATGGGCCTTGGGGGGACGAGGGGGAAGTTTTTTAAAACCTGGGCTTTGGAGCAAGCAGGACACCGTCAAGATTCAAATCCAAAGGTGGTGCCTTTGAGACGGTCCTTACTGCAAGCCAAGGAGCTCAGTTAAAGTTTGAGCACACTCCTACATTCTGCAAGAATACAGACTTTTATTCCCGGCCACCAGGACTTCTCTGTGCACACAGCCTTCCATTCCCACCCTGTGCCCTGCTCCAATGCCAATCGGCAATATGCACTCTTGATACTGTTTATTTAGGCAAAGGCAGGCAAAGACAATGGCAGTTTGTGCAGAGGTAAGCAGGTGCATTCAGAACAGTATGTCTTCCCTCTGTCAGCATTACACCGTCATTAGCTAGTGTCTGCTCAGCAGGGTGTGCCATTATGTCTCCCTGGGCTGATGTAATTATACATTGACATAATTAACCCAGCAAGCCCATTAAGCAGGCCAGCTAAAAATTCATCTATAATTATTTGTTGTGTGCATGCTAATGAGTCCATCTGCACTGCCATTGTACAACATGAACAAATTAATTTACAAGTCTGGATTTTTAATAAGTTCAAGAAAATGCCTCCTATTGAGCCAGGTTAATTTTTTTTTCAGTGGCGGAAAAGAGAGAAAAAATAGAATCAAATTCTCCAGGGTCAAAAAGTTAGATAAACAGAGAAGTGGAAGAGAGCGAGGCTCTCTGCCTTCTACCACACACCTATGGCATAGATCCAACCACAAACCAACAACTGGCAATAAAATCCTGCTCTGCTGCTATTAACAACTCCTTCAGCCTGCCACGGTATCAAGCGCAGACTATTTACAGGTGGGAGTAACAAAGCAGTGCCAGCTTGCCACAGCTGTGTGGCTGGCCTCACTGATATTTCATTTTGCTTGTCTAGGGGCCACATGGTGACATTTGGTAGTGGGGGTGTCAAGAAGGTGTAATGTCAGTTTGGAATCATGGGGAGGAAGGCAATTAATTGGGATACAGGGCTCATGCTTGATTGCCTGACTCCTGCAAGGAGCCCACTGGGCCAGGTTCTCATCTCATTCACACAGAGGTCGATCTGGAATAAGTCCCCTGAATGAACATGCTTCCTCTGGATTTTCCCCAGCATCATGGCCGGTACTGGTCTTCCTGACTCCAGTTGCCCTGCTTGTATGGAGCAGGAAATTCACCTCCTATAGAAGATGAACTCAAGGTTACAGCACCACTCAAGTTTCACTTAAGCCCTATGGGCCAGTCACTCCAAAGATTTCTAGTTGCTTACTGCCCACTGATTTCAATGGCAGTTGGGTGTCTAAATGTTTTTGATGATCCGAGCGGATGGGCCTTGTGCTTGTCTTTTGCATGAGCAGAATTTCACTGAATCATAGCACACTAGAACTGGAAGGGACCTCAAGAGGTCATTGAGTCCAGTCCCCTGCCCTCATGGCAAGACCCAACACCATAGACCATCCCTGATAGATGTCTATCCAACCTGCTCTTAAATATCCCATGGTCACCTCATTGGCCCATGGGAAAGATACTTCAGTGGAGGTAAATAGCTGAGTGTATGCCTGATCTGACTTCCACTGAATTCAAGGGGTGTTTTGTCAAGGACTGTAACAGGAGCAAGACCTCAATGGACCTGCCCTGTCACTGCCACAGTCAATGGCAATAGCTGTACATGCTTCAGACAGGACATGTAAAGTAGTCGTCCCTGCAACTTGCAAGTCATAGAATCATAGAACACTAGAACTGGGAGGAACCTCAAGAGGTCATCGAGTCCAGTCCCCTGCCCAAATCAAGTCATTGATTTGGTGGAATATTCCTTCATGTGGGTGATTCTTGGTCCATTGCACAAGACCAACAAGACTCTTCAGATTGGTCTTGGGAAATGTTTCTTGACAGTCCAGGGCCATTTCCTCGGGCTACTCACCCAGCTAATCCTCCACCTTCTCAGCCTTTGGAATCCAGAGAGCAGGTTGAGACAGCAGAGTATGGGGACAGGGTGTGAAGTAGGGAGAAGAAGCCACCCACAGTCACACAAAAGCCTGAAGTGCTGGTGGTGGTGCACAGAGCTGTGGTTGGGAAACTGGGAACCACTGATTCGAAACAAGCAGCAACCTTTCTACTCTCCAGTGCATCGGGGCTGACCTGCACTGTGCAGGGCAGTGATTCAGCTACTGAGTCCAACAACACTTAGTAGGTTTGCCTACGAAAACTGCACACTCGCGAGGCTGCTGGTACACTGGGACCAATCCTGCCTCATTCTGTCTCGCTGTCCCTTGTGGTCTTCTGTCTTGTAGTTCTTTGGGGCAGGGATTGCCATTTTGTTCTGTTTGTACAGCACCATGACTGGGGCCTCCATGTGCTACAGTACTACACTTAATACAGAAATAAACCAGAATACTGACAGCCCAGTGATGGCATGAGCCCAACTGTCCTACCAGATGCATGGCAGAGGAAAAGAACAATTTGCAATAAATATCACACTAACAATTTTGGAGCAGCTAGAAACACTCACTGAACTTATAGTGTGGACTCTCTCCTCAGAGACCATCTTGGAATCCTGGTATCAGACAACCGATTTCAGGGGTTTACTAGAGGGAAAAAAATCCAATTTCACAGTGACAAGGACTTTACCCCAAAGCCTCTGAGGTCAGTTGGGTGTGGCCCTTGACCGAGAACACACACTAGAGAATTAGGCATATTTTCCAAGGCTTTACTTAGATGTGGAAGGCCAGTTCTGTATTTGGCGTACGTCAGCATAGCCCTTGCTGACTTCAGTGCAGATACATTGATTCATACCAATGAAGGTCTGGTACTAAATGGTATTTTCTACCAAGTAAAATGAATTTGGACTCTCCAGTTTACAAAGAAGAAATCCTATGGAAGAACTAAATATTGGCTCCTTATATTTTCTTAAACAGAAGATAAAAATGAAACAAATTTTAGCCAAAGACCAAAATGCTGCTTTGATATCTTTCATTTTCTGATGTTATGCATAACAGACCTGTTCCAACTCCTACTGAAGTCAATGGGAGGGTTTCCTTAGTCTTCATGGGGCTTTGGATAAAGCCCATTGAGTGAGATTATTAATGTAGCTTTACCCCTCTCTGCAGTTTGACGGTGAAAAACTGCACCAGTTAACATCTGTCATTTAATTAATGTCAACATCAAGTCTCTCATGATCCTCACCCAGGCCTGGCCAAAGAGTTTGCAGGGCCCAGGGTGGCATACTGTGGTTGGCTCTGCCACACACCTGGACGGCTCCCAGCTAGGGCAGCAAGTGAGCAGCTGGGTGGGCTCTGAGCAGTGTGGGGCCCAAGGCAGCCACCTTGCTCACCTTGACCTAAGGCTGGGCCTGTCCCCACCAATCAAAGGATAATTCTGCTAAGTGAGCAGAAGCCTGCAAAAATGGAACCTTTTGACTGAAAATCTGGCCTTTTTTGTTCTAGCAAGATAGGGGAGATAAATTCCTGGTAGAATGCCACTGTCTTCAATGAGTTACACCAACAATGAATCTTGTCAAGGAATCTACTGCCAGTTTTCAAAAGAGCTTACCATTCCCAATAAAGGCAGTGGGGAACTGCCTGCATGCGGCACCTTTCAATAAGCGCTGAGCAAATACTGTACTTTGCACTAGGATGCTGTTGGGCATCCTGGTTCTTCCCTATCTCCTGCCGTCATTAGTCTTTGACAGTGGTCACCAACCTTTTTGTGGCCAATAGCACATTCATATTTTCAGAAGAGTGTGGCGGGTGCCAACAATTTTTCAAGGCTTGTTTTGTATTTGTACATTAAATAATACAAATAACATCATATTTAATATTACATAATATATGACTCCATAACATAAATAATGTAATTTTATAAAGGTATTAAATTATTCAGCCATTACTCTTTCACCTTACCATGCTTCATAACATAAAAAAGGTAATTTTATATGTAAAGGGTATTAATTAAATTATTCGGCAATTATTCAGCCC